ACATTGTATCATGCAGGAATTTATTTTTTAATTGAAATTACATGAAAAAAGGTACATTTAAAGAATTTAATAGTTGATATAATATAAATTTGTTTTGTACTGTAACTAAGTTATATTTAATATTAAATGCTTGCATTAGTAGCAACAACAAATTGGTATTATTCCACAGTACATACCTGCTTAGTAAATATAACACTTTTTGTGTAAATATTATAAAAAATAGAGAAAGGAAATTCATGCCCGTTCGTTTTATAAATATTTATTATAAATTAAAAAATAACAATATAACTGAAAACACCGAATTTTGGTTTAAACATTATAACAAAAATTAATAATTACTCTAAGAAAACATTTATAAATATTTTAACAATAAAACAAAAACGATTCTTTGGTAAATATACACAGATAGGTACATTAAGATAAAATTTGACTATACTTCTTCAGTAAACCGTGATGTTTACGTGAAGTGCAAGCCATTGTTTAACAACTTAACAATGATTCTTAGGTACAACGTAACATACTTGCATGATAACAGGGGTAAGCATTCGATAAATTTTGAGTGTGAGTGCCTATAGTATAGGCCCTATACCAAAAATGCGACTTGAGCTTTAACAAAACAAAACAAAAAAATTCTCGAAATTCCGACGTGATGGAGACTTTTGGTGGGCACCATTGGATTCAGGAGGCCATTTTCAGTCGGAATGGCATTTTCACATTTTTGGATTTTTTTTCGGACCCCAAAACTACAATAGTGTAATTAAAGGAGTGCAAATAATACCTAACCTTTAAAAACTGGAACCAATTCAGGTAAACCCCATGTTCCTAATAAATCTGCTACTTCAGTCCGCTCATCCATATTATTTGTTCGAGATATCTATAAGTAACCAACACATAAGAATATATTCTTATATATATGAATAGTTAAAAAGTATGTCGCCACTGAATTTACAGGGGCAAATGACTAATTGTAATAAACTAGTTTCTTACCTAAAATATGCACTACACACGAGCTGATACACAAATACAAAAGAACAAACACAACCGAAGTCTGGACGCCGTGCAACACCGTTTGTTTACAGGTTAAAAGTAAAGCACGCGCCGGGCTGGACAAATCGCGCGCGAAATGCACAAAGTTTGCATTTGCATTAACCTACAGAGACAACATCCCCAACTGACACTTTGTTTCACACCGCTGGTGTCTTAGCTGTGTGAAAAGTGACGCATAGTTTATACAACCGAACCGTTAGTTCCACGGACTAATTTCAGTCAGTTGAGAATGTTACTTAAATATTTGGTCCAACAAAAACATTTTACCGCCGAAATGATTTTTTTGAGATAATGTTGTCAATACTTCTAGCCAACACAAAGTTTCAGTTAAAATAACTGAATCGCCTTTTTGCAGTAAATAATACTCAACAACAAAACTAAATCTTTTTAGGTAAAGATGCAAGCAGTTATACATATAAAGGTACTGATTACAAAAAACAAAAAATTTTATTTTCTGCAACAGTTTTACCCCAACGATAATAAGTTAGTTACAAATACCAGGTCTTTTCTAAGTGTGCACGCTTAGTTGGCACTAGTTGGCAGCTAATAAACCTTTTTAATTTTTCGGAAAATGTGAATTTTTCCAAATCACTGAAATTTCCCAAGTAGCATTTATAGTGGTTAAAACGTGTTGGCCACTTATACTTAGAACTGTAAAGTATATTGCCAAAATCTCTGCAACGTGGTAGAAACGGTTCTATTACGTGGAAGTGACTAAAATGGAGAACACTTTTTTAGTGTTACGTTCCAACAACGTTCTTGAATGTATACAGACACGTTAATACCACGTTGTGATTACGTTATTAAAACGTGGAAGTATAGTGGCCAAAACTAAATTGTAACTTTACTAATCTTTACTTTCTATCCCCGTCTCTTTCCAGCATATTATTTATCTTATTATCTTTGCTTTCTCTGACTGGATATTAAACTAACACTGAAATATAATATTGTAAGAGTAGAACTTGCAAATAATAAGTAGGATTAAAATAATCCAAAGACATAAAATGAAAACGAATTAAATTTTACTTTCAAATATGGGTATCATAGCTTGTAATATAGGCACGCCCTGTTGAAATATGTGGTAATAAAAAAGAATAAAAAAATCTATAAACTTAGCCGATATGAAAATTATTTAACTAGAGGCCTAAAATAATTTTTAATTTATTTCTGGTCACCTGAAACCAATAAATATATATTAACGTGTTAAATTTGGTTCGGTAATAACCAGAATTATTTGTTTAAAACTACACATTTATTTTCCTACAATGGCGATTATTTGTAAACATGTCTGCTTTTAAAGAAGGGAACTTTAAAGTTGTAATTTTATACGAAACGTGGAAATCACTTAAGCATGTAGCAAGAACGTGGCAATCACCACCGCAATTATATAATCAAGTTTTGCCACATTCAAGGTTTGGGAAAAGTTCCGAAAACGTTGCCAAAACTGATATGGGTACTACTACTACCACTTCAAAGTAATACTTAAGTGATGTGACTTGGTTACAGTTACTATTCATAATCCACTCTAAAGTTTAGACAACTTTAAGGTGGTGTCAAAAGTGGTCATAACATTTCAGATACCAGACTAATACACCAAAAAGTTATAAAACTATAAATTATATTCTGCTGGTGCAAATCACATGATTTAACTATGCTAATATAATATGGAGATATTTTAACTGTATCGTGGTAGATTTAGGTATTTAAACGGTATTGCCACTCACTTTATAAAAATGAGGACGTGACACCCTCAAACGCCCCAGCCGATTTAAATTAACAAACATATTAAACAATTTTTATTTATAAAACAGAATCAGTTGAAATCCTTTAAATGTGTCATCTATAGTGACAGATACCATTATTGTTTCTGTGTGTTTTAATATAAATCAGCTTGTTTTATTATAATAACCCAGGTAACAGTTTTGATCAAGAGAAGATCATGTCTTGAAGTATTGTTGAAGGGTAGTATAGGGTTGAAATTTGTTTTTTTTAAATATTTTTTTACAGTTGATATTGCTACATCACAATTCCCTGCAAGTGCCGCCGTCGATTGTTGTGGATTATTGACGACGGAACCGACTATTTCTATTTGTTTGTCTTCTGAGATTGATTTTCTACCCGATCCTTTCTGCCTACTCAAACTTCCAGTTGTTTGAAATTTAGTCACTAACTCCCGTAGATATTTTCTGCAAATAGGGTTGTGTGGGTACCTTTAATTAAATACCTCTCTGCTTGGTGCAAGTTACGTCGAACTTCAGCATAAATAAAAATTGCTTCTGTTTTTTCTTCCAACGGGCGAGCGCGAACCATTTTCCAATGAAATAATAAGTAAAATTGCAGGCACAACTGATAAATAGTGTTACACTAAAGAGTAGAATTATTTTATAAACCGCCTTATAACTACAATGGTACGTTTTTTTTAACAAAACAAAAACAAAAAAGTGTAAATAAAATAAATGTTGATACAGATTTACGATAATTCCCACCGCCAGGGCCTGATTTACCGAACAGGCAACGTTTGTAGCTGCCTAGGGCGGCAAGAAAATGTAGTTTGAAAAACTGAAATGCTCAATTACTTAGCAACCGTTAAACGTATTTTAAAAATTTAAATAGCATCGAATAGAGAATCGAAATACCTTTCAAATGAGGTATCACAAGCCCCCCTTTCTCTTTGAAATTTTTAAGTTGATACTGCCCTCTTGGCGCTCCTTAAATGGGCACCTATCAATTTGACGTCAAAAAGTAGTATTCTTAATGTCCTTGACAATGGTTTTTGTCCGATGTCGATACCTTTTTTCGTTCAAAAGATAACAGTGGGGGGACTTTTAACGTCCGCACTGTATATAGGAAATTTAAAGTTTATATATAAAAAATATTCTTATATATAGCAGAAATAATTTACGGACAAACGGCGCCTCATAATATTTGGTTTAACAATATACCTACATCACCTAGTATATATATGCTCTCTTGTAAAATTATAAAGAAAATACGTCCCTTTCTGAGATTGACAAGGATATGCCATATTTATTGCAAATATAAACTAATTTATAAAAAATAACTCAAAATTAAAATTAAATATACCTATTAATGTTAATAATTAATTCCCGGGTTATTTATAATCAATTTAGTTTATTTATAATAAATAAGATGTTTGTCACTTTAAATAACAATTTGTTTTTTAAAAATATGGTTGTTAATTTTTATGCAATTTTATTTCTCACAGTATTTGTTTATAATAAATAAATATTTATTTACCAAAAAAAAGTATATTAAAGTAATACTAATAAATTATTTGTTTTTAAAAAATAAATAGTTATTCCGCCATTATCGAATAAATCCTTTAATTATTGTTAAAAAACATCATTAATTGTAAATAAACTGTTATTTCAGTGTATTGATTATGTAAAATAATAATTTTTAAATAAATAATTTTAATTTGGTGAACAATTTTTGCAAACTCAGTGGCGCCAATATGACTACAACGCGTTGGAACGGTTAAAAAACTTAATGTGTATCAATTGGCCGAGATAAATATTTAGCTACGACTAGAACAAAACCTAACACACGCATATTAAGTACTTAATGGTACAGTAGAGCCAAATTGTTTAAATAAACTTCAATGCAACATCCTTCCGAATTTAAACAGAGACTTTATAAGTCATCTTTGTCGGTTATCGATTGGAGCAAACTTCCTGCTTTGTCGTCTGCACTGTGCGTATGTCGCCGGCCGCCAAACAGTATTCGACTGTTATTAAGTTCCAAGTCTTTGTACATATCGACTGATCTTGCAGGCAGCAGTAGAAGTACAAGCAGCAGGACATCAAGAGATTTGTAATCACGTTCGGCTCTATTCTTTGCACTATTAGACCCTGTTAGATTATGCAATTTTGAAAATTGCGCGTGCGCGAAAGCTGCCGAGTCGCGAGGGATAAAATTGATTGCAATTGAAGCCAGTCCGCTCTGTAGTTTTCGAGGTGTATTTTACAATTTTATACTGTTTATAGTGTTTTTTAGTTTAATCAGTGTATTATGAAGACTAATTGCTATCTATGGCCGATTTATTTTTACCTTTTGCTACACTACGTTTGCGCCGATTCCATCGAAGAAAAAATTAGAAACGATCCCGATTTATCGGAGGTAAGTGCTGTATTATGCGAATTAAAATTATTATTTTTTACAATGCGTTAGCGTTACGCGTAAATTTATTTGGTGTAGTTTCAGCACACTTTTAAAATATCGATTTTTGTCATCACAAAGGACCGGCAAAGCGTTCCTTATTTATTTTTAGCGATTGATTTTAAATTAAATTATTTAATCAATGAACATGTTAATGAAGTGCTAACTCAAGGTGATATCCTTCAACAATATTAATTTCAACCCTTTACTCAACGACAAAAATAGCAATATTTAGGACGCTTTGAAGTTTATGTCGTGACTTTTATTTTGGCATTCCAAAAATGGTTTTGAGTATCGATATTTATTGTTTATTTTTTATTTCATTTTCCACCCTCTTTATTGTGGCGAAAACAAAATCCTACCCTAACAGTTTGCAATAGGTGCTCCATGAAGAACCAGATTTTTTACCAATGCCATCATCGGCGTCTACTAGTGACGTCATTATTTCCGAAAACTAGGTTGCATCTCGGATTTCGCTTATTTTTGTTTTGGCATGTTGAATCGATATCCCTGGGGTTTCAATGGTTCATTGTCACAGTTTCTTTTACTATTAAAAAAAGGGGGTTTTAACTATATTTAAGTTAAACTATAAAATCTTTAAATACATCTGGGCTAGTCTTCGTTATGATGATTAATTTACAAATATATTTTCTCCCACTTTAACTTTAGACAACTACACATCTTTTTTTAATTAAAATTACATTTTATACAAAAAAAGTTCTATAAAGTGATTCTTTAAGATCGAGATATTCAGCCTTGACTTATTTGTGATATCAAATTTTTACTGCCTCTCAGATGAGTAAATAATACTTAAAAATTGAATCACAAAGAAGTCGAAGCTAAATATCTCGCGAAATATTAATAAAGATTATGCTCTACAGGTTTTCGCCACTAAATATTGGGTTTTTAAATTTGCCCATTATTTTAAACAAAATTTTTCTCTCTCGTTTTCTTTTTATAAATATATATATTTATATACTGTATATAATATTTATAAATAAGATAAATACAAATTTTTTATCAAACTTTCAGTTTTTGTTTTTTTATTTATTTAGATAATATGTAATATGTTCATAAATAAGTTATAATAATTATTATTTAAAATATTGAAGATTTAATAAATATACATTATTATTATTACATTATCTCTTTAAATTAATTTATTATGAACAATATTTTTTTAATTGCTAATTATTCTAAATTTAAAGTTATTTTGAAATTTTATTTTGTTAATAAATAAAAAATTAATAAATTAAACAATAGTAGTCGCACACAATATTTTATTCAAGTATACTGGTATACCTCCAGGAATTTAAAGCCAATTTTATTTGATATTTTTTTCTGACATCTGACATTTGTCAAGCAGTTTTAACCTCAATTTTAACTTGAAGCTAACTTTAGCCCATGGGCAAAGTAAAATTTTGCACACCGGCCGGTTTAAGTTAAGAAATAATATGGGTGTTGAATAAAATATGATAAACATACCAGTTTCAAACATATTACATTTATGTAAAATTAAATTATATGATATATTGTTATTTAATTATATTATATTTTGAAAAGGAAAAAACTTTTTCTGAGCCAACAATATTATTATTACTAGAATTACTAATTTTTAATAATGCTCAAAACTTTCATCTTGTTTTCAATTTAAATGTTATTATTAATGTATGCATTTTATTTTTCCTGGATTTGTTATTTATAATATAGGTACTGTAATACAGTAACTGCATAATTAATTAATATTTTTTTCTACTCCCACCTTTAAATCGTACATGTTTCCATGACACTAAGTGGCCTTTTAAATATACATTGACAAGTTGTGGCTTTATGGCGTTTTAGTCACGGGCTAAAGATAGCAGCAGGTTTTTAGTCACGGGCTGAAGTTAGCTTTTAGTTAGTTGACAGTTGTCAAATGTCATACAATAGTTAAAATAAAGTGCCCTTCTTGTAAAATAATACTAAATGTGAAAATTATTTTATTATCGCAAAACAAAAATACAAAGGCATTAAATAGTTTCTCAACGCCAATATTTGAAAAGTTTATATGAACATTGTACTGACCTTTTAATTTCGCTGGAAGTAAACTGAATATAACTTAAATTCGAGCTCGGACTCCACCGTGAAGTGCTCATAAAACATTTTCTTTACTTTCACTGTGAAAAACTGTCGATTTTCAAAGAATACATTTCAATTTATAACCTTTATAACATTTGACATTTGACAGTACCTAACACAGATTCCCCTATTGTTTTATAGACGGCGCACTATAAAAATATATGATTTAAATCATTTTAAGATAATAAGTATTTGTCGGAGAAAAAGTATAGTATGCAACTCGTTTATAAACTTTTCTAGACACTCATTAATTAAATTCGTCTCCAAAAAGGCAAAAATGGTGTTTATCAAACTTGATACATAATATACCATTATCTACTCCTACATTGACGAGCTGGGACTTTATGGCGTTTTAGTCACGGGCTAAAGTTAGCAATAGTGGCTTTTGGGCATTTTAGTCACGGAATGAAGTTATCTTTATTATAAGTTAGGCAAAAGTGGGGTTAATTCCGTTAAAAGTTGACATGTCAAATGTTTAACAAATAAAATTGGCTTTAAATTCTTCTTTGTGTTCGTCGTATACACAGTCTGTGGTCGTATACCTAGATAAAGTAAAGTATGCAACTCGTTATATAAACTTCTCTAGACACTCGTATTTATTTATAGCATAAATTTTTAAGTTTAAGGTCCTTTATAAATAAAAAATTTATTATTTTTTAAAAATTTCACCCCCTTTAAATTAAACTTTTTTTCCACTTATCGTATATGTTTCTATGATACTATTAAGTACATATTGGCAAGTATTGGCTTTATGGCCTTTTAGTCACGGGCTGAAGTCAGTTTTAAGTTAGTTGACAGTTATAAAATGTCATATAATCGTTAGTGCCCTTCTTGTAAAATAATACTAAATGTAAAAATTATTTTATTATCTAAATACAAAAATACAAAAGTATTAAATAGTTTCTCAACGCCAATATTTGAAAAGTTTAAATCAACATTGTACTGACCTTTTAATTTCGCCGGCAATAAACTAGATTTAACTTAATTTCGGGTGGAGACTCCACCGTGGAGTGCCAATAAAGGATTTTATTTAGTTTCACCATAACGGATTAAACGGTCCATTTTCAAGGGATTTATTTAGATTTACACATAAAAATTTGACATTTGACATTATTACAGATTCCCAAGTTGGTTACTATATTATATTATATAAGTCCCTCTATAAAAATATTTAATTTAATTCATTTTTAAATAATAATAAGGGTTGGTCGTAGAAAAAGTAAAGTATGCAACTCGTTTATAAACTTTTTTAGACACTCATTTAATTAAGCACTCGCTCGCAAGCATGCTCGTGCCTAAATTAAATTCGTGTCTAAAATGGTGTTTATCAAACTTGATACCTTATTTTCTATTATTTACATTTAAGCAAAATTGGTTTAAATATAAATTTTTGATATAGGTTTTGAACGTATTGTTTTTGTACACAATTCGTTCCACTTATATAACTTTAGGACAATAATAATGGAGATTTGTACAGTTAACCAAACTGGTAAAATTGTTTTTGACATAATAATGAGAAAATCAACGACCAAAAATAGATTTTTGTGTTTTTATTGATTGTGATAAAAAATATATGACCAAATAATTGAAACAATGACAAAAATTATGTATGGAAATTTTAGCTCTATATACCCCTTTGCCTTTTGCCTCGAGCGCCTCCAATGGAGTGATCGATAGTGTTCTTGTGCTTTTCTCATTCTTATCGCATAAATAAATTCAAACAGTATCACAACGTTCAATTTTTATTTTTAAATATTTTGTTTTTATTTCAGTTTTATGCATTATTAGAAGCAAGTCAGCTAGCAAATGTCACCCTTCAGTACAAGCAAGTTACTATATTCGCCCCAACGAATTCAGCCTTTCAGATGTACGGGAACCTTAGAGACGATCCAAACACGCTGGTTCTCTATCATATGAGTAAGTTATTTTTACTTTTCACAACAATAATAAGTATAATGTGCGGAATACAACAATATTGCTATCTTTGCATATAATGAATAGACATTATTAAGTTGCTTTTTAAATGAGATGTTTATGATGTGATTAACATTCATGAGGGGAAACACATTCTTTGAGAAGAAGACAATTATTGTAGATGACTGCATTGATATAAATAATGTACAGTTAAATGTGTAGCAAATACTGCGTGATTAGTTTTTAATGTAAACAAACGACTATTTTTAGCCAGTGCACCCAAAAGGACTGATCAATTGGGAACATCCTCGTTATCCTTGTATTCAGAGTTAGAAGGGAGTCCGCCAGTTTGGATCACACATAGAACTGGTCAATATCACGATGATATTTACGTCAATAACGCCAGGCTTCTTTTTATCCAATCAAATATAATGGGTACTGAAAAAAATGGAAACGAACAGGTAACATTTGTTTTTACTTTGAATATCATTGTCAAGGTCTTAGGGCCTTTTCTTTCTACCACAACATTTAGTTCAATTAAGTGCAATAAGTAAAAACATATGAACCATACTATGCAGTTAATATTTAATTTAAGTATATCATGTCACACTTGCGGGATAAATTAATCGGCAATTAAAATTCTCGAGAAGATCGCGTGAAGGAAAATTTATTTGAGACTTAATTAACAACTAACTCAGCTTATCGTTTGTGTACATACTCTAAAAGCTGTTTAATTAGTTACCTACTTAATGAAGTTTAAAATATAGTGTAAGGAAATCCAATTTTAAAAAAGCAACATATTTTGTTGAGGGGTTTTCACTACATTTTGCAAAAAAATTGAAGGAAACCTAAAAATAAAACTTTTTTTATTTCACAATAACAAAAGGAATTAATATGTGTCCTGTGGAATTGAAAGCGGACATTTACTCTGCCGTGCTAAGCACAAATGTGCTAACTATCACAAATGTGCTAACTGCAATATTAAGTAATTGGGGAGCTAGGAACCTTTTGTGACAATTTTTAAAGAAACGAATATATATCTTGATATATATTGGCTTAATTTTCCACTAGTTGATCATTTATCATTTACATACCAACATTATTGGTACTAATTTTACAGCTTACATTTTATCACTCGATGGGGTTAGTTGTAAGATCTATTGGGGCAGGTAGTAGCTGTAAAAAAAATGGAACACATTTAAATTTTTACTTTTTAGGTTTTTAAAAATACTTTTACTTTTTATCAAGTAATAAAAAATAATAACAGCAACAGCAAATTAAATTAGAACATCTTAAGGAAGTCTTATGATTTATACTTTCTCAAAACTTAAATATTATTAAATAATAATAATACAGCTTTCGAATAAGTATATTTCTTTATGAATAAATTCATCAGAGTTTATACAAATAAACGAAATAGTTTTTCCACATTTAACATATACCCAAATCTTACATACAATAAATTCTATAGGTTTACCCATTCGCCTCTTTTTATCATTGTCACATAGAAAGCCAACTTGAGGTAGCAAAATTATAAAACATAGAATATCTTTATTTTGTGCAATAATTTACCTGCTATTGAAAAGTAGTATACCATAGTATATATATATAGTAGTATACTATAGGTATAAGGTTCGATAGGAAATCAAAAATTAAGAGGACATTCTTTAAAGTTGAAAATAAAAATTATTTTTTTTTTGTGATAAAAATTTTGAGCCGCTTAACAAATTTTGGTCAAATTTGAACCAATGTTCACATAATAAGTATTTGTCGAACAGTGATAATGCTCTACATTGAATTCTTTTCAGGGGCGTAATTTAGTTCAGCATGCCTCTTTATGCGCAAACTACAACATTATCATAGTAATAGCGATTGGGGTCCACGGACTAAGTAAAGTCTAACTATACTTCGACTACAGGTGTTTCTGACAAATCAAAACCAGTATATATCCATCAAATGCTTAATATTTACTTTAATTTCCATTTTTTTTTATAAAAAACAGTAGCAAAAGTGATAGAGGAAAAACTGGCTTACTTTGGCGTAAACTATTGACCCCCAAAAGATGACAAGTTATTACATGACACCATGTATACTTAGCAGACTATCTAACTTTCTATTGTAGTAAAAAATTGTTGCTTCTTTTTTATTGTTAAAGTTGTTTTGAACTCGTTTATTAGAAGTTTCAACAACCAGATTCCAGGGTTACAATTGGGCTGCTCCCACGTTCAAAATGAATCCTAAATAGGCGAGTCGAGCTTTTATTGTAGGCTACAATTTGTAGCAAAATGTTTTATCAATTGACCATATGCAAGGAATGTGGTCGATGTTGCCAATGGTAAAAAAATAAAATTCCCTATTGGGAACATTCCATTATATTACGTTGGCTACACTGAAATTTTGAATTTCCCGCACAAACTGACATACATTCTAGTAATTCCCAGAGATAAAGATGTTAGTTCCAATGTTGTATAATAAATTAAGGTGCGAATTTCAAATGTGGGAATTATTATTATTTATTATTATTAAAAAAAAAAGATGGAAATTAATTTAGTTTGTGCGGGAAATTCAAATTTTCAATGTAGCCAATGTAATATAATTGAATGTTCCCAATAGGGAATTTTATTTTTTTACCATTGGCAACATCGACCGCATTCCTTGCATATGGTCAATTGGTCGATCGCTGCCAACCAACGCGTTCAACGCATCGGTACTGACAGAGATCATAAAGAGCGTAGCAACTCAGACCAAGTCTTACTTTCATGTCGCAGATTCTTATAATACAAACCGCAAAAAATTATTTGTCAGGTATTAAACTAAATTGTCAGGTATTAAACTAAGTTAGGCCTGAAGCAATCAAATTAAAATTAGAACAAATAAATTAAATTTTAATACTTCCGCGGGACGCGAGACATTGTTTACAAAATCGGGACAGCCCAGCCTAAATCTGGACATAATATTATGGCATATAGCTAAAGTTAACAACAGTGGCTTTTGTGCATTTTAGTCACGGGCTGAAGTTAGCTTTATTATAAATTTCGAAAAAGTGAGGTTAAATTCGTCAGATGTCAAATAATTATGATTAAAATTAAAATTAGCTTTAAATTCTTATTTCTGTTCGTCGTCGATAAAGTGAGGAGGTGCATTCCAAAACTCGGCTTATCCATATTAGGTGATTGAGTGAGCAAAATGTCAAAAACCTTACACGTGAGTACTAACGCATATCAGGCCAATAGAATACTTTTAACAAAATATATAAGCATAAGTATAAAATTGAAATTTGAAATAATTTAAAATTACATATGTAGCCAGTTCTGACATGATATAACCTATAGGTAAGGCAAGTTTTGGAACGATAGTCAATTTGTAAATGAATTTTAAATGGAATAAGGTGAGTTATAGAATATTATGACCTTTTCAGGGTATAGGGGACTACATGTTAAATGTACGAGTTTTGGAATGTATTATACTATAATAATAGTATGCAACTAGTTTTATAAACTTCTCTATGAGTATACTCGATTTTATTAAACACTCTCTCGCAAGCTTGGCTCTTGCCTAATAAAACTCGTCACTAAAATGGCGTTTGTAAAACTTGATACATACTATACTATTTTATTATTATTAATATTTTAAACAATAGGTATTTCAAAATATGTATTCTCCAAAACACTATAGTGTTTACAAATCCTATAGGATTTGTAAAATAAACCGAAAGATATTGTTTGTCTACTATAAAATTAAAATTAATTTTGTCGTATAAACTGACTTCCTCAAACATTTGGACCTTTCCAGTTTGATGGATGAGATTTACTTAAAGCCTCTCCGTCTCCAGTTTTATTTACATTAAGATTATTTTAGGTTTTGCATAAAATTGATGAGGTATTAGTTCCTACAAGATCGCAAAAATCTGCTTCGAAACGTCTCTATAATCCCACAGCTTTGGAATTTTTAGAGAACTATGAATCTCTAATACAACACCCTCATCGCGTAAGGTAAACTATATTTATAAATCGAATTGGTTTAATGAATTTTTTATAATGTTTTTTTTTGTTTAGGAGTTTTCGACAAAAAGTACAACAATTTAATAAACAGGACATTTTTAAAACTGAAGGAGGACATACATTTTTTATTCCAGTAGATGAAGGATTCAAGGTAATTATATTATAAGATTAAAGTGTTTAAAAATGTAACATTGATTTTTTAGAATGAAAGAGCAGCATTTATCGATGAAAAAATCATAGATGGTCATGTAATACCAAAACAGGTATTATTTACAAACCCAACCAAAAAAGATGCCCCTTTTCAAACTTTGGCTAATGGCGATAATGATATAAGGGTGGTTATATTATTTACCCAGGAACAACGAGGATCTACTATAATAAGTACGATAACAATTTTAAAATAAATCGTCATATTAAAATATGTTTATAGATTATGTCAAAAGTCACACACTTTTGGGAGATGGTAAACATACTCAGGGAGTAGTTTTAGCCGAAATAGTGAAAGCAAATATCCCAGTTAAAAACGGAGTGATTCATTTGATCCAAAAACCTTTGATGGTGGTCGATAGCACGGTTAAAGATTTGCTCCAGGTTAGTAAGCTTCTAATATTTATGAATTTACTATTTAACAGGCCAGTTAGTCAGTAAGAATCCAAATTATGATCAGTATAATATGGTAAGTCTTTAACTTACTTAACCAGTTAGGGAGCAGTAGTAAACCATATGTCACAATTAATTGTCTAAAGTGAACTTCTTTTTACATAAACTATGCCTATAAACATTTTGTGTACATATTTTATTTGTTACAAATTTTGCTGCTTTGAATGGAAACCTACAGCAATATAAGGTAATTCCTCAGTGTGTAAATGTATATAAATAACTACGTGACGTGTCGTGATTATCGTACCTGTGTACTGTGTGTGCATGTACAAATATTCCAAGCACTGTGGCTTCCAAAAACACTCTTTAACTTACACACAACATTTCCTTAAAAAAAACTATTTTTTATAAAGTACTTCATTTTAAACTTTGATCGTTTGTCATATGTTGTCTTAATTGTTTTTGTAAAGGTCCTAAAGGCTCTAAACAAGTAACTGAGTATTATGTTTTAAAAACTTATTTTTAAAAGTCCATTTAAAAAATATAATTTGACATAAAATTTAATAATTATAATAGTATATTATATTATAGCCGAGCTCAAATTTAGCTGCAGATCTAAGAGTGGCCGTTAATAAGCTTTCTCGGTTGTGTTGCATACTATTTTTTTTTTAATTCTGTACTTACATTAAAAATCTTGAGTTTACGACATTTTTTCATAAGGTGCATTCCACAGTAGAGATGGGACTTGAAAAAAAACGGTCCATTTTTTTTGTTTATTTCAGGTTTTTTTTCAAGATTAGTCCCATTTGCCTAATTTTTTATGTTTCCAGTCCAGTTCGTGGACTAAAATTAGCCACTAAGTGACATTTAGTAAATGTAAAAACAGTCTCGCGCCACCACCACCGAATTGATAAGGGCCGCGCTTGTTTTGATTTGGTCCTAAAAAAAAGTAACTACCTATAATATTTTTGATTCAGCGCTTGATTTTTCAAAAAGCTACCAAAAGCACTTTTTTCATGATTTTTCAAATTCATGTTGAGTATGGAAATTTTTTTTTTAAACAATATCTAATTCTCGTAGAACATTTATTCATTGGTGGTTATAAGTCAGAACTCCGTGGACCAAAAAAGAAAGTCAAAAAAATTTCGAAGTTTTTTACTACGATATTCGTTAGGATTGAGCGTTGCACGTTTTACTCAAAATTTTAATTGAAAAATTACTCCATTTTTAAGATTGATGTTATATATTGTCAGAATATGCTTTATTGCAGCGGTTTTTTTTTCATGTTTCATGTTTCATCCCTATTCCACAGTGATGGTCAGTACAATTTAACTCATTTTCTGACACACTTCTAAATGTACACGGTGCTGTTCTGAGAACTGATTTTTAGACTTGAAACTTTTTTTTTGATGTTACTAAGATATTTTGAGCAAAATAATAAAAATCACACTATTAGGTTTTTGTTAATTTGAATTTTATTAAAAATATTATTATCTCTTTCTACCCTATCAAAAACATTAAAAACTAATGAATTTTTCAAAAAAATGTCTCTTTATTTTTAAAATATCCTTTAATACCATTAAATAATATTTTGGATTTTTGAGGATGTAGAGGTCAAAAGTCAGTTTTTAAAAAATTTATATTATTTTCGGTTGGGTAAAAAATTTGAAAAAATTCTGTAAAAAAACATAATAAGTTTTAGCCAAATCAAAAGAGTTCGGGGTCAAAAGTGGTAGATTTGGTATGGAATGCACCATATATAGATTAATTTAATAATTGTTTTTTTAAAACTGCATAATAATAAAAAAATAATGAAACTCTTTATAAATCAAGTTTTAATTACATTCGTGATACACAAAAGAAACGCATACATGAGTACCTATGCTAAAAAAATAATAGAATGGCTTCATTAACTAAAATAACACGGCAAACAAACTAAAATGACACCATCCAACCGTCATTTTAAAGCGCAAGGTAACCTAATTAAGTTTAGTCAGCGTAAACAAACCATTTGAAAATGTTAAATCAATATATTGATACTCAATTAGAGAGAATCATCGTCATCCCGGCCAAACAAGCACAGCCTATATATAGTTTTGTAGAGACACAAATTACTCGTACACCCCCATTGCATGAAACCCTATTTGAAATGACTTTTTGTAAACATTTAAGCTTTCGATATATACCTACAATATCAGATTTATGCATGTGAAATTAAACACGCCGTTTTGCTGTGTGTAGATGTGTTTCATTATTAATCTGTTATTATACTGATGATTTAAGTGCCTTTTGTTATTTTGTTGCACTACCTAACATCTATCTCTATAGCTTTATTTGAATACTTACTGACTGCCAAGTAATTATTGTTTTGTAGAAAAAAATATATAAGAAACTGATATAACACTATTCGGTAATTTATTTATGCTTGCATATGGGGCATTCCACGACAAATTTTGGCTGAAGTTGTTTTACTACTCTACTAAAAACTTGTTTTAAGACGTACTTTTCAGAAAAAAAAAATCAAAAAAAGTGAGTCCGTACCTAAATCTTTTGGATTATTATGTGATAATGTGTATCTCTACCTTTAAATTAAATTACTATTTTCAGAAATCTTTAGGCATCCATTTAGTAAAAATTAAATATTATAATTTTTAAAGTACATATTTATTTATTTATTTTATTTCTTGGAAGGTTGTACTGAACAAAATCAAATAAAAGTATAAAAAATACAACTTTAAAAAAATAATAAGTCACAATGAATAGTAGCACGATAATATCGCATAAGCGATCACTCATAAAATCAGTTTTTCCTGAACGACACTGTCACAGTGTCACTGTGACTAGATGGAATCCATCTGATGGATACATTAATTCTGTGTACAATTACTATTATAGTAACCAATAATAATTGACAAAGGTATAATTTTTTTTTTTAATTTTTTTAATGAATAGGGTTTAGTACAGCTAATATGATTTTATGAGTGTATGTGTGATCTCCGCTTTCTGGAAATCAGCAGATTTTAAAATGATAATAACATTTTTCCATTCTGGTGAAGCTCAATAAAAACTTTTAAAACTCAGCAAAGATAAATTATCAAAACGATTTTGAGTATTTGAGTACTTCGTGACCAATTTTTTATCCTCCTCATGGCCGAAAAAGATCTCTCACAAGATGCTGAGGCTCAGCAGCTGAGCCTATTGATAATAAAAGTGCAATTTTAGCTTTACTTTGTAATATTTTACATAAGTTTCAATACATATCTCTTTTTTTTAATAAAACATGTTTTATCGTGTTTTTTATGACGACCATTTCAGCTTTCAAAATATCCTGCTGTATTTTAAATTTGGTAGCATAATTAACAAAGCGAGAACTACTATCAAAATTAAATTTTATAAAATTATCGATAGCATTTATTTCTTGACTTTCTGAGGAAAATCTTTCTTAGCATTGTGTTTTTTTCACAGGAAAAATTAGATGCCCGAATGGTATTTGACAAGACTATTTCATGAGTAACAGTTAACAATTAAAATATAAATTGCAATTTTTGGTGACAACAGCTGTCAAGTTTTGCCGCGGGTAAACTCGAAAAAACTGCTGACAGTTGCTGTCACACAGTTTTTTCACCTAGAACTGTAATTCAAAATTGCGCGTTTGTGATTGGTGGAAATTAAGACGAGGGAAATAGTCGCCATTAAACAAAGAATGTTTTTTTGAATAAACATATAAATTTCAGTCAAGTCGAAAGGGATCGAGTTCAAAAGTGGCTGATTTGGCGTGGAATGCCCTATATAAAAATATAAAAATTATTTAAACCTTATTTTAAGTCTTTATAGCTAAAAGGCAATGTTTTCAGGGTTTGAAGTTTTAATTCGTCATTTTGAAATATATAATTTAATGATATTCTTTAATTTTTAAGAATTATTTAATTAATAATTATTAAATGTAAATTTTAATTTTATTTCAAATATTTATTTTACTTTACAATCTGTAAAATTGTATTATTATTTTATTATATTTTAACCGCCTATTGATATCGTGGTAAATGGAATAGGTCTTATGTAAAAATTACGCAAATAAATTTTATTTATGTACTAATTTTACCCAAATTACACCACTCCACAGGGTTTTTCATTGGAGGTGATATGTTTTTAAATCGAGAGTGTGGCCGTATTTGAATTGTCAATATCTTCTATCACTGTCAGTTATATTAAGTAAGGTGTGCAATTTAATCATGAAAAGATACACTCCTCAACAACGTTTGTAAATAATCCAATTTTTTTATTAAAATAATCGTTCTTATATTGCAACTTATTGTGCACTTCTAAATACAATTTGTATTGCAAATTAAATTAGAGAAGAATAGTATATATGGGCGAAATTTCTGTTTCCTCTGAAAATTTTGATATTTCGGACATGTATACTAGGGTGGTTCTTATTTGACCGATGTCGAAATTTTAATCGTGCCGCCACACAGTGTTTCAATTCTCGAAATTTTCGCCAAAATATCAAGTAGCTGTCGGATTCTCCTAAAAATACGTATATAGAGGTTTTTGGGGTCGCTGATAACGACCAAAATTCAAAATGGTAGATCCAAAATGGCGGACATATACAAAGTTTATATACAAAAGTGCTCTTTTAGTTCCATCCTTACTTCCTAAGAAGTCCCAGAAGCCAACTGAATGGCTTGTGCGGGTTAGGGGTAGGAACGGACCGCGGGCTTAAAGTCCCCTCCGAAGGACTATTACACAATAGGACAAATACAAATAAACAGCCATACCCCTGGTGGGATTCGAACCCACGACCTCCGGCTTGTAGTCAGCAGCACTAACCACTCGTCCACCGTCGGCGATATTTGTCAAAAAATTGACGGAATAAATTAAAAACCACCTTACACGGGTTTTTGGGGTCGCTGATAACGAATCTGGAATCAGAATTCCAAAATTCAAAATGGTAGATCCAAAATGGCGGACATATTTGTCAAAAAATTGACGGAATAAATTTAAAATCACCTTAAACGGGTTTTTGGGGTAGCTGATAACGAATCTGGAATCAGAATTTCAAAATGGTAGATCCAAAATGGCGGACATATTTGGGTACACCGCGATATATCAGATATTAGACATGGGACCCAAACCAAATTTATATGAGTTCATAATGAAAAGTTCTGCGTAAGCAGTTTTTGAATTAAAGTTTGCAAAATAGTTAGTTTTTTAGCCTCCGGTCCCCCAAATTAAGATAAATCAAATTAAAGTGGTGCAATATTTAATTCACTGCAATTTATTGACAAATTTCAAAATTTATTTATAAAATTTAAATATAACAGATTTTATACTAAGTATTTTAAATTGTTATTGGGTCAGAATTTCTCAAACGGGCCACCTGAATTAGGTCAAAATTAGTTTTTGATTGTAGATACATTTTTTCGATAGTATTTTACATCACTAACACAAATCCTAAAGGATTTTGTAAAAAAAAAATTTTCAATTGACATATTCATGATATTAAAAGTAAAAGTTTTTAGTAATTAAAAAATAAAAAAAAATCATTATGGCTAAACTAATTATCCGATTCCAATGATTTAACTAGCGTTGGAATCTTGTTTTGACATAGATTCTTTGTTATTTTTTTCAATTGTACAATTTTCATTTAGGTCGATTTTTTTTTGTTTTTTTTTATAACCAATTCGGAAATAATTGGCTTCTGCGCCAGCTATCGACTCGAAAAAAAAAAACACATATACTCCAATCATTTTTCGAAATTATGCTGCTGAGAAAAAAAATGGCCCGCAGGTTGACAAAAAGTTATTCGTCCTTTTGTGGCCGCGCGCGGTGTCAGCTCACGCTCCGAACCGTGTACGCTGTACGCGCTTGTGACGCGACGTCTTACGGTGGTCTGGAACCTGCGGGCCATTTTTTTTCTCAGCAGCATAATTTCGAAAAATGATTGGAGTATATGTGTTTTTTTTTTCGAGTCGATAGCTGGCGCAGAAGCCAATTATTTCCGAATTTGTTATAAAAAAAACAAAAAAAAATCGACCTAAATGAAAATTGTACAATTGAAAAAAATTACAAAGAATCTATGTCAAAACAAGATTCCAACGCTAGTTAAATCGTTGGAATCGGATAATTAGTTTAGCCATAATGATTTTTATTTATTTTTTAATTACTAAAAACTTTTACTTTTAATATCATGAATATGTCAATTGAAAATTTTTTTTTTACAAAATCCTTTAGGATTTGTGTTAGTGATGTAAAATACTATCGAAAAAATGTATCTACAATCAAAAACTAATTTTGACCTAATTCAGGTGGCCCGTTTGAGAAATTCTGACCCTATTATTTCTTTTACTTAATATTTTAGCAACGATTTCTTAATTCGCTAAAAAAATGCCAACACAAATAACCACAATTCAAATTTGACATTAACACACTACAATGCGCATGCGGAGTTGTTTTAGCGCACCTACAAGAGGTGGGTTAAATATGTAAAATCGGTGTTAAATATCTTAGTAGTCACGAACGATTTACGCAAGTAAAAGTCTAGACACCGCTGTTGTAATAAACGTTTTGAGTTAAATCCGAGTGAATCGAGTAAACGTCATGAATGCAACCTAGAAATACAAAAAAATCTTATATTTTGTAAAGCAAAAACACAGATACGCTCGCGACATAGGCTTAAAATAGCGAGGTTTTTTTACCACAACCGTGCCTAAGCGTCCAAGAACATGTAGTTTTAAAGAGCCGGGGGCAAGTTGGGGCAGATAATTTATTGATGGCTTGATAGACAAAACTCTAAGCTATTCAACGGATCTTGAACTGATGCCTTACAATTCATTAAAATTTTTGTAGCTCCATTGTTCTAAAAGCTCGATTCAAAGTTTGCGATTTTAACAGACCGATCTTGTCGGTTACAATAACCCGTTGTACAAGCAAAATCTACAAAAAAAAACAAATACATATCTGAATTTTACATACCTTGAAGATCACCCCATCAAACCGCATAACAATCGGACACACCAAACACAAGTTATTCACATTTAAACAATAAACAATTTTCCGCAGCGATCGAGTGTAAAGTACCTTCAACTGAAAGCGTCAAGTTTAAACTGATGTACAAGACAAAATATACCTATTTTATATAATTTTTTTCAATACAGGATGGAGACAAGTATTAAGTACCCATCTAACTCAAAATTTCTGGAAAAAAAAAGATTAGTTTTGAGGTTTTGCCGATATTTTAGAGAATTGAAACACTGCGCGCCCCCTCATTTATTTTAAAAAAATATAAAAAATCGGGTTTTAAATCAACATTTATATAACAATAATTTTTTTTTTCAATTCCGAAGAAAAACAAAAATAAATGTAGTGCATTTTTGTCCCACCCAAATCTTTTTAGAGACAACCTTTTCTGAATTTGTAAGTTCAATTGGTATCAAAGCGATTACAGCCATCCCAATACCTATCACGCTATAAATTATAATTAATAATAATTATTAGTTTTAAAATAATTTTTTCCAGAAATTAAAGTTTTAGGAAATGTAGATTTTTTTAGGTAATAAAGCAAAAATGAACCGATTCATTAATTACAATTTGTAATTTGACCACAAACTTTAAAAAAAATATTTAACGAATGTAGTTGGGTTTTAATTTTTTTAACCGATTCTTACAATTTTTTCAAGCACATTTTTCGAAAAACGTGTTAAAAAATGTTGACTTAATAGCTTTTATGGTGGACATAAAACCTTTTTATTTTTGTCCAAACCTAAACGTTTTTGTATAATATAGGAAAGTTATTTTAAAATACCAATTTAAAAAATACTATTTTTAAAAGTAAAAAAAACAATAAAACAGTAAAAAACAAGTTTTGATGAACACTTTGTGTTACCAATATTTTCTCTTTATTCCTTACTAACCAGTTAATGTAGATCAGGCTACACAATGCTAAATAACATATTTTAATCTAAACATCCAAACGAATATTAAATTGACAATTAAAAAAAATATTGGGATAGTGCGTTATTTTTGTTATTTAGTTTACTCTTTTTCACTTATTTATATTATATTTTAAATTCATAACCCTAAACCATACAATGGCCTTAGATTAGTACGGTCACAGCATGCTGTGGTACCTACGGCAATATCCTTTTATTTTATTAGAAATTTAGAATGTATGCTTTTCTAACCATTTTTTATAATTAATATTTTTTAATAAAAATATGTAATTATTTAAAAACCTAAATAACATAATAAATATAAAAACTTATTATAGGTCTAAATTGCATTGGCTGCGTTACTAAAACCAATAACATTTTATTTTATTAGGAGAAAGATGGAGGCATTCTTAACAACTTTGTTAATGCTATTAAAGACATGGGAATGGAGGGCGAAGAATTTTTAAATAAACTAGAAAGATCCCATGACATAACTTTGTTCGCTCCATGCAATAAAGCATTGGAAGGAGATCTAACTTTAAATTCGATATTAAGGGACAAACAACGATTCTTAGATATTCTAAACATGCACTTAGTTGTCGATAATCGATTGTACGTCGAGAAGATTCTTAAACATAACAGAAACAAGGTAAGTTGAAAGATTGGTTTACGTAGGAGCCTAAATAAAGCCCTTATTGCATTTGCTAGTTAAACACTATCTAGATGGTACATATTTCAAAATGGTTCTCAAAATTATCAACTTCTTTTAAGGTAAATTTAGTTTTTTATTTTTATATTTATTTAAATTATTAATTTACTGTAACATTAATAGTGTTTAATTAGAATAATCATCACCATTATTCATATTATTTTTATCGATGTTAAAAAGAAACTTTTTTTGCATAACATTTATTAAGTTATTGGAGATAAATTATAAGAGAAAAACCATTTGGGAAAATCTTTTTGTATAGAGTTCCCTGATAGCAAAATTTGATTTTAAGAATCTCCTAAGAAGATATGACCCGGAATAATGGAATATTCTTAGAACCTTCCCTTATTGCTAAGAATGTTCTTAGGGACTTATAAAACATTCAATAGATACCCTTTTAATTAGATTCTTAAAAGCTTCTGAAAACCTTCCTAAAAAGCGTCCTAAGAACATTTTAAGGAAACGTTTTTGGAATGTTCTTAGACACGGCGTTCTCTTTAGAGAACGCCGTGTCTTAGAAGGTTTCTTATGGAGCTTCTAGGAAGCTTTTGAGAATATTTCCAAATAAGTCAGATACCCCCGTTCTAATATGTAGCATTCTACATTCGTAAAATTCTTTAGAAGACAAATACGCCTCACTGTCAGAATATGACAGTGAAATGTATTTGTCGTCCCCTTAAATTTTGCGACATATTAATATATATTTATTTTATAATATTAAATAAACAATTTGACCTCTAAACCGTAAGTTTTATGACATTATTTCATAAAAAGTAAAATTGGAAAATTTTGTGGGATAAGTCAGATTAGATTGAAGTTGAAGATAGGTAGGATTATTATACATAAAAATGTTAATTCAGAAATAAAAAATACCTATAGTAAAAGTATTTTTGTTATCGAATATTGTTTTAATTTGACAAATAACTATAAAAAATATTTTGGATTGTGTTTTTTACTTAGTATTTAATACTAATTAGGTACTAATTAGGTACTTAAGTAAAGGTAGTTTAACAGGAACTTTCTATAGCAATTACTTTCTTAACATTCTAAGCATATGTTTAGAGTAGAATAATTTTTACCACTAAAACTTTGCACCTTCTAAGAACCTGCTAGTATCATGCTATATGTCTTTTAAGCATGTTCTTTAGAAGAAATATAGCAAGATCCTAAGAATATTCTCACTGGAAGGTTTAAAAAACATTCTTAGAATAAAGTATGCTATCAGGGTTAAAGATTTTCGAACGGTTCACAACAATGTTGCATATTTTTTTTCCCGAAATTGCAAGATTTTAAAGCCTAGTTTAATAAAATGGGGCAAACTTCTAATAAATCCTTAGCGGTCGTAAACGAACGTATAGAGGGCAGGGGCGTTTTTCGACATCTACTGAGGGGGGCAAAAATAGAGAGAGCACATTTGTAGTGCAAACACAGTATAGCAGTATACTTACCATAACAGTATACCCCTTTGGGGTTTTCTTAAATTTTGACTGGACATAATTCCGCCCGGATTATTTTATTCAATTGTACTTTTTAGGTGTCGTGTGAAGTAGGTCTATTTGATTCAATTATTATAAAAGCGAAATAAAATTAATTAAGCAGCATATTTATGGTCTTCCCCCCGCCACTGGTGGAGGGAATTTTTCATAGCGTTCCAGGAATTCTGTGTTCTTCTGAATATTTTTGGGTATTCGTAAAATGTCGGCTTTGCAAAGAAAAATTAACGACTATATGTATATAGTCCAATTAAAAAAATATTTGGGAAAAAATACTATTCCACGCGAAATGAGCCAGGGACTCCATGGCAGAGAGTTTTAACAAATTTGAGATCCAGTTATGAGAGTTTTTGTAACTCCATGGTTAACACCTGGAAAATGTTAAATATATTAAAAGATTTGCCCGAATTTTTACTTAGAAATGTTTGTTTTTACTGCTTATCCATTAGATATAATTATATGCATTAATGCAGTAAAAGCATTTCAACAAAAATGTGCAGGTTATGAATACTTACTAAGTATTAATCTTTCGACCTTATATAATATGCATATCCCATGGGAGTGTTTTTTTATATCAGGAGGCCAATATCAAACACAGCAAACTCCAATATTTTTTATTAGCAAAATCCATCACATTTATAAAAAAGTGATTCTTTAAAATACGAGTCCAGTTGAAATAATTGAGTTAAAATATCATACTTTATATTATATAAAATATTGACCATAATATATTGACCATTTACTAAGGTTTTTTAAAAGGAAAAAGTTATTTATTAATATTTTTAAATTGTACTCAAATGGATTTTGTCGGGTTTAATATTAGCCTCCTGATATATTTACCCAGTACCCATTTTCCTATATTTTATATAGTTTTTTGTTGCAATGAGTTTTGTTTCTATAGTAGGTACCTATTTCTTTCTTACAGTTTTTTAATTGTACTTGTTTTAGATTTTCCAAGCGCACACGTTAAGTAGGGGTAAAAACCTATACTTTAACGTGGTGGACTCTGGTACCAACAGAACAATGTCAGTAGAGGGTGGTGGAGTAAATGCTACAGTTGTCCAATCAGATTTGGCGGCTACCAACGGAATCATTCATATTATAGATCGCGTTTTAGGTGTACCATGCACCACGATTTGGGATAAACTACGAACCGATCCAATGTTAAAGTAAATTTCGTGTGCATTTGGTATAAAATTATATATTAAAATATTTCTTTTTAGTTCAACGTTTTATCTAGGAAATCTGCAAGGCTTTAATAGGCAATTGAACGATACCAAAAGAAAGTTCACATATTTCGTTCCACGCGACAAGGCTTGGACCGATGCTCGTGTTCTATTTCCTTCTACTATTAAAAAACTATTCATGCACGAATTCGCATATCACGTGAGTTAACAAAAATATTTTTTGATTAATTTTTATGATTAGTTTTCTGTTGCCTTTACTTACTTGTTTTAATTTTTATTTACAGTATTCGATTCTTAATCCACTGCTCGATCTGGTAGGTCTAGTAAACCGGCATTTAAAAAAATAGTGTCTGCTAGGCATATATTATACAGTGTGTTTACAGTTTAAAAAACTTAGCAACGCTTTTCCAAATCAACTTGTTTTAGGAAACCTTCTCTGGGTTACTTACCCGGGTCCAATAGTCACTTGACCAGAACTCTAAGGTTACTTACTACATCACTTTAGTAAGCAAAAAGCACCGGTTTCAAAATATGACAGTTCTTTTTGTTTTTAAAAAACTGCCTAAATAAAATAAACTGCGCACCACTCAATGTGTCGCGACCAAAAAGTTCGTTCTTTTTCAAAACGACATCAAAACTTTTTTGTTTCTTGAACTATTTTATTTTGGTCTGTGTTGTCTGCTAGCCTCATCCTCTGGCAATTCATGCTTTAGATATGAAGCTCACGGTTCTTCAAGTAAATTTCCTACAGGGTGATATGTTAAACGGTGAAAAATTTCAATATCTTCATCCAAGCCCCGTTTGTAAAAAAATAATTTTTTTTCTTGTTTTTACTTTGAAATAATGAAGTATTATGTCTTACCTTGAAATATTTTTCAAATTTTTCGAATTGGAATCTTAGCAACGAAAATATGATTTTTTTTCCAAAAGAGTACATTTAAGGCTTTTTTTGTAGGCAATACACTCTTTTTAGGAACAAGAAGATAAGATGGTGAAAGAATGTTCCTTAAATAATTCTGAACAAGCGACAAGCAACAAAATTCCTTTATTTTCAGAGCAAAGACCACTTTTTCAAAATAACATTTTGGTGAAAATTTGAGAAAACGAAACCTAAACCGATATTTACGTTCGTGACATGTTTTCTTCATAATTTTGACCACCTGATTGTGATTCAGTTTTCAACTTAAAGTTTCAGATAAAACCAAAATCACCAAGAATCACGATTCGAAAACAATTCCCGGCTGTTAAATGTCTCAATAAAATACGATTGCTGGTTTTTACTATGTTTTTACTGTGTTTTGTATCTTTAGCACGTTATTATCATGTCACTGAATGATCAAATCGAGGATCGAACTTTTTTTGCATAAGTTATATCTACCTTTTCTTCCTTTAAATGATTAAAATACCAATGCCAGACTTTGCTGCAGCTACGGGAATTAACATCTCCAAATCAACGTGTTGCAACCATTGCAACTGTTCGCATAAGATTGCACGAAACGGGAGGTAAGGGTGGCTTTTGGAGGTGGAGGAGTGTGATGAATGGAAAGAGTGAATGCTAAGAGATATAGAAATTTGGTTGTTAGCGAGGGGTCACCCACACCTGGGAATCCCTGGACATTTTAGAGGGGGAATACCATAGGAATACATACTCTCTAAAAATGAAATAGTCAAAATTCTACTATTTGAATTAGTACCAGCATTTTTTACTAATAAAATAGTCGTTTTCACTTTTAAATATATTTAAAAAATAACTATAGTTATTTTTTACTATGTAAATAGTTAAAGTTTGACTAATTTAAGATTAGTCACCATATTTGACTATTTCTGACAGTTAAAAGTGACTAATTTCTTTAGTCGTTTACGGCCAACAACAAAGTATTATTTGAATTAAATGCATATACCTCTCCATGGTTAAATGACCAATAAAACAAATAAAGATGCAAAAAGTTTAGCTCAAAATAGCAACACAAATAATATATTAAACTTTAAAATATTATGAACAATATTCATTGACAAATTAAATTAATTTTTATAAGAGCGGCTGACAGCCGAATGCGTCAAGAGGTTAGCTTGACAAACTTGTCAAGTGACAGACCTGAGTTCAATCCCAGGCTGGGTCAAAACTTTTTTTAAATTTTAAATTTACTAATTTGACTATTTCATTCAGTGGAATTTGACTAATTATTAGTGACTTCTTTTTCACTATGACAATTAGTCAAATATGACTTATAATTAGTTATTTTTGACTAATTCATTTTAAGAGAGTAGGAATACAAAAAAATATAATGGGAATACATGGGAATCCCTGGACGTTTTCCCTTTGGGTGGTTGACCCCTCGGTTGTTAGTGATATCGTGGTCCCTTATGCTCAAAATGTTGCCAATTGGTGTTGGTGGACGACAATTCCCGTCCGCACCGCGCCAATTTCGTAAATGAGTATTTTATGGACCACCATATTGAGAGGATGAATTGGCCACCTTTGTCTCCCGATATGAATCCTATTGAGCATGTGTGGAGCAGGATGAATTTATAAGGAACTTGTTCTTAAAAAGACTGAGTGTATTGCCTACGAAAAACCCTAAATGTACTCTTTTGGGAAAAAAATCATATTTTCGTTGCTAAGATTCCAATTCGAAAAATTTGTAATGTTTTTCAAGGTAAGACCTAATACTTCAATATTTCAAAGTAAAAACGAGAAAAAATATTTCTTTTTTCAAACGGGGCCTGGATGAAGTAATTGAAATTTTTCACCGCGACACATTGAGTGGTGCGCAGTTTATTTAAATTTCAATTTTTAAATACTTTAAAATCAATGTTGATTAAAATAAATACAAATTCCACACTTAAAAACAAGATGTAATAATATTACATTATATTATATTATATTGTTGAAAAAACATTTATTTTTCTCCATATACATAGATATATCTATCGATTTTTGCCATTTGTCTTTTAAATATGAGAAAAACATACTTATAAAAATCGACTATACATATACCTGGTACTTATAAGGATTATTATTATAATACATTATAATGTGTACAAATTACCTATTTTTATAAATTATAATAACACAGTGGCGGCTGGTGAATCTGCATATGCCATATCTCAGTTATTAGACATGGGACCCACACCAAATTTATGTTAGTTTATAATAACACTAAATAAACAAGTTCTGTGCAAGCAGAATTTAAATAGAAGTTTGCGAAAAAAGATTTTAGTTTTACAATTTATAATTTAACAAAGTTTATTGACAAATTTTAAAATTTATTTGAAAAATTCAAATATTACAGATTTTATCCCATTTTATTTTTTTATTATTTTAGGAATTTATTTAAAATGGTATAAAATCTGTATTATTTAGCATTTTTAAAATAAATTTTGAAATTTGACATGGTTGACAGATGTATTTTCTAACATTGTGTCAATAAATTTAAAACTTTAAATTATTATAACTTTAAATTTTTAAAACCTGTTTAGAACATTTTTTCTTATCTTTTATAAAAAAAATTGTTTCAAAATATTAAAATAAAAAAAATAAAATTCAATTTTTATTACTCAAAGATTTTTTAAAAAAATTGTATTTTTTATACTTATTACAGCGTAGTATACCGTTAGTGCGCCATTTTCAGGACACCCTGTAAACATTCTGGCATTTTTAAATAATTATTTAGAATAACAGTTAATAATTTCATATAGTATATTTATATTTATTTTTAAACATTTAAAAACTGTATAATATACAGTAGATTGGTCGTAAAAAAATTTTTTTCAACCGCCGGGCGAAAAAAGTTTTGTTTTGGCCTAAATATGTCTCATTTAAAATTTCGTAGTTATAAGATAATATTTAGTGGCCGCGCCCAGGCAGGTAAATATGAAAATACGGAAAATATTAATAAAAATAATATTTTTAAAACAAATTTAATTATGGCGTAGTAAACTTATTTTTTATGTATAAATTAGTATGTAGTTGCATTGCTAATAAATTAACTCATCTAAAAACTACATAAATTCAAAATTGGTTTTAAAAAATGAGCTTTTATATGAAATGTAGAAACGACATTACTCTAATTCTTCAAGTACAAAATATACCTTATATTTTTTCCACCGCGTAAAAATAATGTTACTAACTTGATAGATATAGTTGTCAGGTTGACAGTTACTGTATTTATCATTATCTGTCATTGGCAATAATTGACTATTATTAACCTCATTTAAACGTCAAATGTGAAGAGATTATATCTTTATTTAAATTTATAAAATAGTGTTTACAATGTCGATTCCATCGACTTCATCTGCGGAAACGCCACCGACAACATCAACAAGAATTACTCGTGCAACCAACAATTTTTGCGTCAAATCAATTTAATTGGAGTCGGAGACCACAGCTCTGGCATTTTTTGATCCTTGTGTTCCACTAGAAGATAAACGAAAAATGGTAAAAAATCTTCAATCAAGAGAACCAAACGTAAAATTATTAGAAGGACGACGAATCTCAAACCCGGAAGTCTTATTCCCAAGCTCTTTAAGCGATTTCATATCGTATAAGACCTACAATTTTTTCAATGCGTATGGCTTGCCTGATGCTTTTTTGAAATTTGATCCATCAACATGGGAAGACAATGACGACTATCAAGAAGCTTTCGATTTTTGTCGTGGTTTGTTTGTAGTCAATGATGTTGCTTAACGCGGTGTTAAATTCATGAAAGACTACAATAGAATTTTGACTCAAAATGAAGAACAGAAACAATTTGTCTTTCAGTTTGTTGAAGCATATCGCAAGAAGTTTCCTTCCTGTAACAAAACCGCACTTTAAGTAATTTCACGAACCTTTTTAAATTTCCAACCGAATTTGGACATTATTAGCTTTTTGTGAATGTTGTTCTATTAACCATTTAACAGAATATTTATTTCTTTAATTAATTTAAGTTTTGTGCATGCATTCACTCATAAACAATCCAAATAAAAACAATTTTTTGAATATTTTGTATATTTAAATTTCCTCACCTGGGCGCGGCTAGTAAATATTATCCGATCGTCACCAAAATTTAAATAGAAAAGTTTTAGGTTACAAAAAAACTTTTTTTGCCCGGCGGTTTAAAATCAGAAAAAAAAATTGAATTACCAACCAGTCTAATATACAGTGTATATGGCATATACAGTTTTTAAATGTTTAAAAATAAAATCTATAACACGATTTTTGAGTTTTCTCGAATTATTCTGAATTTTATGACATGTAATTATTATTGATATGTATATTACTATATATATAGGTACTTGGTACTTGTCGATGAAAAACAGATCCCATCAATAATTTTTTAATATAAATTTCCTTGTTAAAAAACTTTTTTTATTTCTAGGCCACAAGAATTCTTGAAAGACACCTTATAATATCAGATGTTAATGAACCCCCATACACAATCGAACGTATCAAACAATTAACCACCAATAGAACCAACAGATCATATGGAGGATTTTTGGATGTAGAGCTGCCAACTGTAAGAGGTTCACTTAAACTCTTCATTGAAGAACGCCCCAACAACAGTACGTAAAATCCTTTGTTGAACATAAGAATAAAGAGCACACAAGTACAAACATATTGTACTGATAATGTTTTGTTTCAGCTTACGTAATAAACTGGAGAGGAGAACAAATTCACGTTTTCCGACCTAACGTGGAATGCACCAATGGAATCATTCACGTCATAGATCTTCCTTTGCTGCAGGAACGTGACGTCAGAGTTAACCGTGCAACAAAAAAACATGTGACTTATCTGCTTGCACTTGTTTGCGTCTTTATCAAATTATTCTAAACCAAACGATATGCATTTAGGGTACATTAATAAAATAAAAGTATGTGTATAGCGTCCAAGAAAGCTTTGCGTTATGCTTTTGATAAGTCTAAACACTAAATCAAGCAAAAGTATATTTTAATGCTTAAACGCAATTAGATTTCCAAATTTTGCTTCACTTTATTAAATAATGGATCATGCATGTGCAACTTGTATTGTGCCTTAAATTATTTCTGTTTTCGATTAGGGCAAACAATTAATTGAGATTTAGACTGGCACTTGTATGTGTGTTCATTAAAAACTTTAAAATCTCTTCACTAAGGTATATTTTTGTGATTAGTGTTTAGAATTCAGTGTTTAAGAGTCTGGGTTTCTTAATAAAAAATCCCGTATTGTCAAAATTGTGATGTGTATGAGGCTAGTGTATAAAACAAATAAAAAACTGTTCAATAAGTACGTGTATGTGTGCAACTTTAATGTAAGAAAGCTTAAAATACCTACGTAAAAAAATAAAATTTAAAGCTATCAATAAACGAAATTTATAAATTATTATCTAAGTATAACAAACATCTGCCTAAATATACCTACACATAAAAGTGTTATTTATGTCTTTTATAAAAAAGTCTATCTATAAATTAAATTATTATTAAAAAATGCGTAGATTGTATTTTTTAACATTCTTATTTTCTATGCAATTTTAAAGTTGTTTAAATAAAAAAAAGTATTAATTATAATGAACAATGCACAACTTTAAATTGAAAACCAGCAACACTAGTCACTCTATTGAACAAATTTAATGTTTAAGGTTGTGCTTTTTTCATAAACTATTGTTTATCGATAAAATAATTTAATTAAATACATAATAAATATACTTTATAGTACTTAATGACTTTTATTTAAAAAATGTATCACGGCGAATATTTGCAAATCCAAACCACAGCGGATATTGAATAATAAATTTTATTTAAATTAACGGAAAAATCCCCAAAACAACGGTAGAATTATCCTACTAGGATGGATTAATTAATCCACTAATAAAACTACTTTAGAGTAAGTACCTACTTATAACACAGTTCAACGCGATTTTCCTCCCATGAAAATTTTTAACAGATTTTAAAAATAAAGGTTAAAAAAATGTACCCGTGTCTCACCGTTTCACGAAATCACGTCATTTAAATTTTTAAACTTTAATCTTATTATTTTAACCTATAGATATAGGTATAGATACAGATTTTTAATTCTCTATTTTGTTATAAACCATTTTTTTTTCTTTAAATATTGTATTTTTTTACATAATACAAAAATTATACTTAAAGAAAATAATAATTTTAACTTATTTTAAGTAAAATATTTTTTAAATTTTGGATTTTTTTTTTAATAAAACAACAGATTTTTCTACAATTGTCGCAGATCGCAGAACATAAGCCTGCGCAAAGCACCCAGCGAAGCACTATGGTTTATCGGCGAAAAAAATACATTTTTAAAAACTTCTTATTATGGGTATTTTTACAATAATTTGTTAAAAACATCTTAAAGCAATAGATTTTGGTAAATAAATATTTTTAGATAATTATGTTTTGATTTTATGACATATTTTAATATCAGTAAAATTGGTTAAAAATTACGCACACATTTAATAAATTTCTTTGCAATATCAAGTATAGGTATTTGCTCTTGTTTTTCTCAATTGATGCTCTAGGACGATCTAAAACGCATTTTAAAAATAAAAACCGTTATGTTTTTTGATTCAAATATAGTAACAACAAAGTAAAAAAATAATATTTTTTTTGCATTAAAAAAGTAATTGGGTTATCTCCGCTCTATGAACATCTAAAAACGCATTTAAAAATTAAAAACCTTTATGTATTTTTATTGAAATATAGTATTATAATACAGTCAAAAACGAAAAAATTAATATTTATTTAAAAAAAAAAGTTTGTGAATTATTTCTGCAAAACAGTGCTTTATAATAATCTAAATACATTTAAAAAATAAAAAAATTTGATTAAAATATAGTTAATACCTACGTAATAACTCCTATTTAACACATTAAAAAAAATTAATATTAATTTGTAATAAAAAAGTTATCGAATTTTTTCCTGTTTTTTTTTATTAATAGTTAGGGGCTTATATAAAAAGCCTAAAACCAAATTTGCACCACCTGACAATTATAATAAAAAAGGTATATACGAGGTGTCTTCAGAAAATATCGGGAATTGTTAAATTTCGCGGGTTCGGAGGGTCCGGTTGTCATAAAATTTTCTTTATTATGTTGGCATACATGCCCCCGAAGTATGATAAAAACTTACGCTGTTTTCATTGTTTACTTTGTCTGTGGCAGCCGCTAAGGTTAAACGTGTTTTATGAGCTCAGCGATTTTTCGTTCGTTAAAAGAAATGGATCAAAGAATTTGTATCGAATTTTGCTTAAAAAATTAAATAAATTCTGTGAAATGTTAACAAAGGCCTATAGTGAGTCTGCTATAAGTAAAACAAGAGTTTACAAGTGGTATAAGAGTTTCCAAGATGACCGTGAAGACGTTGAAGATGACGAACGCCCCAAACGCACAAGCACATTAACAACCGATAAAAACATGGAAAAAGTGGAAGAAATGGTTTTAAACCATCAGAGAAGTCGCTGATGATGTTGGTATATCGATTGGCTTATCCCATGAAATTTTGTCGAATGTTTTGGGTATGAAACGCGTGGCAGCAAAATTTGTTCTAAAATTGTTAAATTTTGAACAAAATTTTTGACCAAAAACAATACTGTAATGATGCCCCAGCCTCCATATTCGCCAGACATGCCTCTGTCTGACTTTTTCCTATTCCAAAAAATAAAGAGAACCTTAAAGGACCGTCTTTTTGCAAGCATAGATTACATTAAAAGCGCATCGCTGAAAGAGTTTCGAGTATTGGAAGAAGAGCTGGCACATGTGCATAATATCCAATGGGGACTATTTTGAAGGCGACAACATTAATGTAGACGAATAAATAAATATTTTTTTCAAAAAACTAAAATTCCCGATATTTTCTGAACACACCTCGTATATACCTTTTTTATTATAATTGTCAGGTGGTGCCAATTTGGTTTTAGGCTTTATATTACACAATAAAAAATGAAAAAGCAAATTATTTTTTATGAAATTCCCTATAATTTTTGTTTTATTTTTTTTTTTTTTAATTCAATAATTAAAAAATATAGATATATAAAGTAAAAAAAAAAATATTAGATACTTCGTAAATATTTTGCAAACGGCCCATTTTTCGGTAAATTAATACAATAGACATTTTGTAGCTCTTTCATTTATCTACAATTAAAAAAAAATAGCTCCGTAAAACTAAGAGCCGACCAACCCACGTGTCACAAAGTCTGTCAAGCTTCGTCCTGTCAAAACTTGCAGTCATAGTTGCCCTGTTAAATCAGTTTTGACAGCGATTCGATTATTAGCACACGTATTTTATTTGCAAAAAATATGGATTTTGGCGATACTGTCGATTTTAAAGAAAGAGGGATTCATACACTGCTTGCCAGCATTGAACGAAGACGTAAAGACCACACGACGATAAAATTTCATGACAACTGTCGAAAAAGCTATAATAAGAAGCCATGCAGTTCGTCGTCAAAGCTTCAACCTCTAAATTTCAATATGTTTCAATTTGATCCTGAAATGTACTGCCCCAATAAAAACCAAAGGTAGAAATGAATTATCTGATGATGTTAACAAATGCATGCAAGACATCTACCAATACGTCAATGATAATCCCGACGAATGCCAATTTGCGCATTTTCCTATCGGAAATCATTATCAAATTTAAGCGTGGAAAGCGGGTCTCGCTGCTGACATTATTGCATGAGCAATTGTTTAGCATTTTCTTTTCCATTTATCAATATTTCCACCCCTAAATTTGATAATAATTTCCGATAGGAAAAGGCGCAAATTTTCCGGGACAAGGTTTAAAACCCAATTGGTGAACTTACCCCAAAAGCGCACTTACCCCACTTCACCCAGGTTTTCTGCGTGTTTAAGAAAATTGTATATTGGAGGGTACTCATCGACGTTGCAACATACAGACCTAATATCTTTTAACATTATTGCCGCTGCTTCAAGCTTACATAAGTCTTCTGGAAGTCCGACGCGGTCTACAATTGAGCGAAGTACAAAAAGATATAGCTCAGCCGAATGGCAAAAATATTGTTTGCCATATGGCATAGGTACAACATTAATTTATCTTCAAGGCACAGTTTTTATTTGTTAAACGATTTATAAAGCGTATAATTAGGGTGAAGTGGGGTAAATGCACCCACCCAAGTGCAGAACACAAATTGAATAGTTAATAAAATTCTTTACAACAATGGTAAGAGTCCAGTCTTTGGCATGTATACAACTCCCTTAGTGGTGTATCTCATGGCAGAACCAAAATCTGCGTTAAAGGTAATATGCCACCACAGCTATTTTTTTTGTAAAAATATAAACATGTGGGTGAACTTGCCCCATATTTGGGGCAAGTGCACCACCACCGGTTAGTACCCATATTATAAGTACGAACGTATACACAGGGCAAGTGCAAGAAACACACAGTTTTGTGAATTTTTTGCAATTTACCGCAATTAAATTGACTTATTGGTTATAAAGTTATTACATTTAACTCGAATATTTAGGGAAATTATCTGGCAAAAAAAATCAATGATTGCAAACTGATAGTTTTTATTCTCAATTGTTTATGAAATAATCAAACAAAAATACAATAGGTACTATTAAAAAACAAAGATAGGTAAACTTCATACAGTAAATCTAATCTAACTGATGTCAAACTTCATTTCGCCTCTTCTTCCTATGGTACCTATGAAAAAAATGTGCCTACAAACAAGAACCTACGTAACTGCGTAGGTCGAAACTAACTCCGGGAAAAGTGGGCGCACTTTCCCCCATGAAGGTAGGTGCACTTGCCCAATAAGAGAAAATTTTGGGGCACCTACCCCTTCAAAGTTAGCTTATTTTACAATAAAGGTAATTTTGCATATTAGTTTACGTAAAACACATATAAACTTTCAAAATAAATATCTAGTAGCTTTACACATAACTTAAGCTCCAGTAATAACCCACTGGGAAAGAAACCTTACAAAATATTGCTGCAATGTTCGCCGACTTTACAAATAAAATATTTCATGTGCTACTTGCATTAACATAAATGAAATGTTACATTTGAAATATTGCATATAATAATTTTCAACAACCTTAAATTTGAAACATTATATAAAGATTCACATGTAAAGTTTTTACAATGTTATATTTGTAACATATAGCATAAAATATTGCATAAAAGTTTTTAAACATTACAATTATAATATTGCAGACATAACTTTCTTTCAATGTTTCAATTGAAATATTAACACAACTTTCAAATGAAAAATGTTTGCAACTTTACTTTAAATATACAATAGAAACATTTATTTTGGAATGTCTGGGAATATTTTTGAAACATTGCAATTATAATATTACATTGATAAATTTTGGGCAATGTTTCATCCGAAATATTATCAACTTATCAATTGATAAGTTTTTGGCAATGTTTCATCCGAAATAATACATTAA